TTTTTTTTTTTTTTGCTGCGGATTGAACCCGGGGCTTTTGCGCTGAGCTCCGTCCTCAGCCCTTTTTTATTTTTTATTTTGAGACAGCGTCTTGTTAAATCACTAACGCTGCGCAGGCTGAGCTCGAACTTGCGGTCCTCCTGCCTGAATCTTGCAGTGCTGGAAGTACAAGCGTGCGGCCGGCAGCCCGTTTTTAACTACAGCTGCAGACGCGAAGAGAGGGCACCCGGGTGTGGGAGAGCGGACGTGACCGTCCGGACCCCTGGTCAGCAGTTACGGGAAGGAACGGGGTCTGGGCTAACAGCCCCGTCGGGGAGCCCCCCGGAGCCGAGCGTCCCGCGCTCCACCGTGCACGGTGGCCGCCCTCGCCCACCCTCCTCTGGGCGCACCCGGCGGTGCTGCGCTGGGCACGCAGCGAATCTCACTCGGGGCTCAGACTCTAAAGGCACCCGGAAAAGAGTCCCTGGAGAGGGCAGGGACGCGACCGGAGACGCCCCGCAGGAGCCCTCCCCTAGCACTCTCGGGTCTGGGCTGACAGAGCGGGCGGGCAGGGTCGTCCCTGCGGGGTCAGGGTACTGCGCTGTGATTTGCGGCGGGTCAGCAGCTGTCGGAGCCCCCCGTGCCGAAGTGGGGGCAACTTCCCTGCTTTTCTGATGCCAACCCTCAACCCCGGGCAAAGTTGAATCAGGGTTAGCGCGAGGCCAAGTCCCCAGGCCCCTGCCGTCCAGGCCCACCGTGAAGGTGTCCAAGCGACCAAGCGTCCTCTCAGAGGCCGGGAGCCCGGACAAGGCTGACGGGCTGAGGGTACGCAGGGACCGGCCCTTGAATAAAGACACTGAACACTCACTCTTCGTGGAACTGATGTCATCAGGACAAGGAGGCCGGGGCTGGGGACCACAGCCGGGCCCTGAGCATGCGAGGAAGTGTCCACACCGAGCCGCGCCCGGCCCAAATGCCCCTCACCCAAGGTCTCCACAGCACTCGGGCTTCTCCGAGGTGAAGCCACAAGCGGCGGGCAGGTCTTAATGCCAAGAAAAAGAAAGAAAGGGAAGGAAAGGAACCCAAAGACAGAAAAAGCAAACTTTCTCTGATGGCTACGATGGAACCAGCGTGAGGACCAACAGATTTCACACTTCACATAACCTAGAATCGATCACTTTCAGATGAACGTTGTGATCTGCCATTGCAGCTCGGTGGTAAAGCTCTTGCCTGACACACACGTGCCCGAGGTTCAAGCCCCAACACTGCAAAAGTAGGTAGTTCTTTTAGAAACGAAAGAAAAGGAGGCCCAAGAGCAAGAACCTGAGTGTCTGTACAAAATGTGTTGTTGCAAGCCAGGCGTGATGGCACACACCTGTAATCCCAGCTTTCTGGGAGGCTGAGGCAGGAGGAAGCTTGGCGAGTTTGAGCCCAGCCTGGGCAAATCACTGAGGTATCGAGATCCTGTTTCAAAATAGAAAATGAAAAAAGGGCTGGGGGTATAGCTCGGTGTCAAGGCAGTTCAATACCCAGTACACACACACACACACACACACACACACACACACACACACACACAAAGCCTTGTTTTAGAGAGAGGTCCCAGGCAGGGGTAAGGGACCAAGCTGTGACATTTATATATACCAGAACCAATACCTGTAGCATTCGGATTTTAACACTTTTTCATTTTTTAAATTGACAAAACGTTATGTGTTGTGTGAGGTAACACAACTCACTAGGCTGAGCCAGTCCACACTGCGTATGCTGTACCTCCGGGCATCGTGTTGAGCCCTGGGCATCTGAATCCCACACCAACGGGCTGGATTTGGGACTGAGGGAGACAGAACGGGAAATGCATCCGCCAGGCTCTCGCCGGAGGGCCGGCCAGGCTGGCTGGTCGGCACCAGGCAGGGATGGAGGGGGCACCGAGGTTTCGCCTGCCTCGATCCTGTTACCCCGGATAGCGGGGGAGGGAGCCGCTCGGGCCCTTGCGGGGACGGCCAGCAGGTGCCGCGAGGGAGGTGGAATTCTGCACACTACAGCGGAAGAGGGCCACTTCCGGGAGGGCTGGGGGCCAGGGAAGACGACTGGGTTTTCTTCACTTGAGGGCCGAAATGGTTGAAAACGGTAACTGTTCGCTGCTCAGACCTCATCCGCATACTCACGTCCTCCTGACGCTTCCCCCGCCCGGGCGGCAGGGAGCCACGGCCTTAGGAGCGCGGTGGTTCTCCCAGAGAAGGTGCCCAGGAGCGGCCCCACGCCAGCCCTCTGCTCTAAATGACTGTCCCGGGCACTGGAGCTGGGGCCGTGTGGGTGAGCGACGAGATCACCCGGCCAGTACGGGAACCCCAGGCCCCGGCCCGCCAGTCCCATGGCGCCTGCCGTTTCGGCTGTGCAACGCAGGCGGGACAGGGCGGTGGCTCCCGCCCGTGGGGAACCTGCCTCTTCAGGGTGCTGGTCGAGGAGGGGTGCCGGCCCCAGGCGGGGGCGTGGGCACAGCCCGCCTTGGCCATCGCTCTCAACACTGGCCAGCAGAGGGCGCAGGCAGCGGGAGCCGATCGGCCCCAAGGACGCCGAGAGCAAGAGAGGGGGGCCGCCCGGAGAGCGACGCTGGGGACACAGGCGCCGGCCGGCGAGGCGCAGCCAGCCGCAGAGGCCTCGGCCCCGCCGCATCCCGAGAGGCTTCTGTCACAAAGGCCACCAGCTCTCGGGCAGTCAGGACCCTCGGGCCTTGGCCGGAGCCCGGCAGAAACCAGAGCGCGCCGTGGCCCGCATCCTCCCCCGGCAGAGCCCGGGGACCTCCGGGCACGGGACCGGGAGAGCTGGCGGGGCAGGAAGCCCGCAGCCTGCGGCCTCAGGGCGGGGACACACGCGTCCTCGAAGGGACGCCAGCTCATGGCGACAGCACGCTCGTCCACAGAAGAGAAGACAATAAGCAAGCGCACACGGAATCCTGCCACCCTCCCGGGCCCGCAGTGTCTGGCGCCGCCGCTCCCTCCCCTGAGCTTTGCTTCTGCTCTCTGGAAGTGCGTGCCACGCGCCCCCGGCTCCCGTCGCAGTCGGCACGGCAGTCTTTCCCTGGAGACGCGCTGCCCCGGCAGGGCCAGCAGGGGGCGTCCTGCCCGGTCCTGTCGCCCGGGGCGGTGCCGTCCCAGGGCCCCTTGGCGGGCCGTCAGAGCTTGTGGGCGAGCAGGGTGGTCAGCTTGACCTTGCCGTCCATGGAGGCGGTGAGGCAGGTCCCGCAGTCCATGGCGGTGCTCCAGTCCACGGTGACCACGGGCGCCCGGTGGCCGCCCAGGCTGAGGCAGCTCTCCAGGACCTTCTCGTCACCGCCCAGCTGCAAGAGGCCAGGAGAGAGGGTGCAGCGTCAGCAGGCAGCGCCCATGCGCACACCGCGCTGGCCCACTGCCTCGGGCCTGGGCCCCCTCCCTGGCCAGGGCAGACGGCAGGCCCAGCGCACCCGTGCAGTCTGTCTGACTTCCTGGACTGGATGCGCGCCCACCTCCCTGACCACAGTAGCACATGGCGCAGCCCTGAGACGCTCCCTCCAGGCCACTGTCTCTGCCATGCAAACGTCGCCCCGGGCCAGGACCTCCTCCTGCACCAGTGGCTGCTCTCCTACAGCGCCCCTTGTTCGAGCCGCCATCTGCTCATGCATCCGCTGAGCTGTTTAAGATCTGCTTCCCGCCTTGGGGATGCAGACACGCAGCACGGGGCCTGACTCGGTCCCACCAGCACCGCCACCTAGCGATCAGGCTGGCCCTGTCACCAGCCTCCGGCGGGCGCGAGCAGGCCAGCCTCCCCCACAAGCTGCTCCACACACACTCTGCCCGTCCTCCGTGCTGTGCCTCGGCTTGAGAGTGAGCCCCGAGAGACACTTTGAGCGACCCTGGCACACGCCACAGTGCCAAGTCCAGTGCCTGGCCCATGAGTGCTGCCCGAAACGTGCTGAGCAGGAAGGCCCCGGGACCTATGGACTGAGCACCAGCACCACCACAGCTGAGACTTGAACTCACTCCACACCAGGCATGTGCATGTTGGCTAACACCTATCTTCGGCATTCGCCCACTGCGTAACACTAGTAAAATGTATAATTTCATACCATTATGTAGATTTAAAAAGCACATGACATAGAGCACCCCTGAGTTGAAAATTTAAACATGTAAACCAGGGAACAAAACCATGTGGACAGCTCCTACCATCGTTCGACAAGAGACCCCCTTACGTGTCTGTCTCAAACAGAGCCTGCAACACACCTGGCCCACGGACACCTCATGAAGTAATAAATCTAGACCAGGCCAGAACTAAAATAAACTACCCAGCACATGCTGGTGAGGGGCACACTCCCCACCGTAACTGTTCTCAGCTCTTCACTCCTTCATGGCTTCTAGAACGGGAATTGTTTCCAAGAACAGGGATAAGACAGAACCTTGGCAAAGACCGCAAATGGACAACCAGAAGAGGGGGCCTGGCATCCTTCCCCTCCTTACCCTTCCAACAGGAAGTGACAGGCAGCTTGCATTAGGAGGCCTGCCCGCTGTCTGTGCCCTGTCAAAGGGTCGGGCAGGGTGGCACAGGCCCAGGCCCCTGGGGAGGGGCCCCGCCCTGACTCCACTCACAGTTACCTTGTAGATGACGCCCCCCGTGGCAGAGCACGTCAGCATGTAGTTGCCCTCCGAGTCGAAAGCGAAGAGCCGGCCCCTGGGAACCTGCACTTGCTTGTAGCCGCTGTAACCGGACAGCACAAAGGGACCCGTGGCATCCGAGGGGAGGCTGTGCTCAGACACCTTCTGGCCGCTCTTGTGGATGTTCCACTGGATGAACTGCAGACACAAGGCACTAAGGAGCGCGACCTCAGCGGGGGCCAGCGGGGGCCAGTGGGGGCCAGCAGGGAGGACACGCCGGCCAGGAGGACGCCGGGCGCCCAGGGCAAGGCTGGATGCAACTGCCTCCCTCTGCCACAGCCCACAGCCCGAATGGGCCTTGCGAGCTCCAGAGGCAGAACGGGCTGAATAAGGGCTGAGGGAGACAGTGCCAGGCCACCCCAAGTCCCATCTCTTGCCAACATAATGCTTTTTGGAAGAAAATCTACAAAACTGGTCAGCAAGCTCATTTCAAAGTCCAGCTCTCTGCTCCCCGTCTGGTCCGAGCCTGGACAGAAGCCGGGCAGCAGCCGCCCTTGCCCGGCTCCTGGGCCCCAAGCGGGGCAGGGCCAAGTGTGTGTTATTAATTAGTATGAGAGCTCTGACTGAGGGCAGATTCCAAACCCACTTCGGCCCCTCAGGAGCACAACCATGGCACACTTCAGACTGTCCTGTGTGTCATTCCTCAGCTTGCCCTACAACCAAACTACCTGGCATGACCACCTCTTGGTTGGGAACCCCACCCACACAAAGCAGCAGCTAAGCTTTCACTTAAAAGTCCCTTCCTACAGTTTTCAAATGAGGAACTGAAGCCAAGCACAGTGGTGTACCCCTAGCACCCCATCTACTCAGGAAGCTGAGACAGGAAGATCGTTTGAGCTCAGGAGTTGGAGGCCAGCCTGAGCAACACATGTAAGGCTCAAAAGAAACCTGACCTTGAAATTAACTGTTTTCAACAGAGAATGCAGGTAGTTACCATAAAAATATGCCCTAACTGGAAAGTAAGCCCTAGCATGATTTTTTTCTAATATAAGCCCTATTCCAAAAAATAAGCACCAGTTGAGATCATCAGCCAGATGGACACACTTAGTATGTCTGCTGCTATACACGACGGATATATTGAATTATAAAATAATATTTACAAAATTAATATAATACTGGCATTAATACTTTAAATAATATAAATTACAATGAAATATTTGTAAATAGCTAAGCGGGCGCCTTAGGATGAGAGGACGCCTTTGTAAACAGATGAACTCATGACTTGGGACCGATCAGAGCCAGCCGCAAGGCCCGGTAACAGAGGACGTGGCTGTGTCTAATAGGAATCTTCATGATTCCGTACGTGGCGTGTTGTTAACGGTGCACTGCGCGCAGGCTACACGGACTTGTTTAAGGACAGCTCTGTTGCTGGACATGAGACGGGGGCTACTGGGTCTCCCGGGAGTGGAGTCACAAGAAATCCAGGCTGGAATTTGGGGCTGGGAAGGTTATGACGATGTTCCAGAAGAGGATGGCACTACTGTATCTGAATAAATGCAGATTTTTGTAAATGAATAAATGTAGATTACGGTACACAAGAGAAATAAGACAGCCCCTGAAAATAAGCCCCACTGCGCCATTTAGAGCAAGTCGATGTAAGAGCGGATCTTACTTTGGGGGAAACACAGCCGCATGAAGCCCCAGAAGTATAGGGAGGCGCAGGCGACAGGCAACAGGTGAGTGTCTCCCCAACGCAGCTGCAGCTGTGACCCTGCTCCCCACCTCGGCCTTCCAAGGAGGGGCTCTGCGAGGGCATTTCCTCCTCCTTGCCAGAGTAGGGCCTCCTTTCTATTTCTTCAGACTCGGCTAAGGCCTGTGCCTCTTCGAGGCCACCCCCAGCCCCTCGGCACACCGCGCACCCACGGTGCTCACAAAGGCACACAATTACCAAGCTCACCACAGTGTACCTTGGCCCCAAATAAGCCCCTATGGGGCTGGCACTTTCGATCTCTAGTTTTCCAGGCCGACTGTCTTGGCTTGGTCTCACTTTCAGGAAAGAGGGCAGTAGGCCACACGGCAGGTCTACCGCCAGCCCGCCACAGCGTCCCGCCCAGCTCTCCCACTAGATCCGCCACACCTACCTTGCCGTCCTCGCCGATGCTGTACACGGCGTTCTCATCGCAGCTGAAGTCCACAGAGTAGACCTCCCCGCAGTGGGCCCGCCAGCTCATGGCGCACTCGTGCTGCTGCATGTCTGAGGCGGAGACGCCACTAAGATCGTGCCCTGGCACCTCAGGGCCACCGCCCGCTGCTCAGCCCGCCCACCCACCCACCAGTGCCTGCCAGGCCGGGCTGCCTGCAGCTGCAGAAGCGGCATCTTTCACTGGTCAAAGCAAGGCTCGGAATCCCTGGGGGAGCTGGAGCTCATCCGGGGAGCCCGTGAGAGCAGGGCACGGGGCCCTTCCTCCAAGGCCTCCTTCAGTCCCCCAAGGCACCCTGGGGAGCCGTCACAGATCCCTCATCCCATCTTAGATCCTGGGGCTGCTTCCCTGGGGACAGACAGCGAGCCCCCCACGGGCAGTGAGCGAATGGCCTTGCTCTGTGTGTCCTCCTGCTTCCCACGCAGCGACAAGGACTCAGACGAACAGCCCAGGACCCAAGGACTGCTGGGCTCACCCCTCTCCCCTGCCCACTGGAGCTGACAGTGCGCATGTCAGTTACACTGGGTGCTCTCAAAATGGGCCAGAGTGAGGCTCAGCACTTGTGTGTGAAACCGGGGTCTCCCAAAGCTGGTCAGCCCAGGGAGGGGCTGGGGTCCTACCGAACAGCCGGATGACGCCGTCAGCTGCCCCCGTGACCAGCAGGTTCCCGTTGTGATTGAAGGCTGTGCAGTTGATAGCAATGGGCTCTGGGTCCACAGAGAACTGGAGCTATTAAAGCCGAACACAGGCAAGGTGAGCAGACCCGGCACCCGCTGGCTCTTCTGCCCCTCCCTCCTCCCACGACTTGCTTCCGGGAAAATGGGCCTGAGCGTTTGTAGAAGTGCTGCACGTGTGAGCCACTGTGCTCGTCTGAGAGGCAGCGTCGCTGTGCCTAGACGTTCTGGTCTCCGTGCTGCCCCAGTTAGCAATGGAGTAACCCGTATCTCAGCAGCCATGCTTTCCCCAGGTGCATTCCAAGCTAAGTTTTACTGAGAAGTCATCGCACTTCCTGGACTGCCTTTCTTGACAGGCGGCTCAGGCAGAGGACGAGCCAAGCACAGGTCCCCAGTTTGGGATGTGGACCCTTTTCCATCAAGTCCCCCCGCCACCACCACCACAGAAACACTTAGAATGACAGCAGCTAAGGAAACCACCTCATGGAACAGGCTACTAACTAATCTACTGATGAACAAAAAACCTCATTTCAAGCACTATAGGACCCCAGGAGCCTGAAGTTATTCTCCTAAGCCTAGTAAAAGTGCAAAATTAATGTGATGCAATATTATTTAAACACACATAGCCAATACTGAGTTATCAAATGCAGGAATCCTCTAAGGCCAAAACTGAGGGGAAAGCAAGACTTCTGAGGACTATGGATCCCCAAAGACGGCTTTCACTATGATGTACTCATGAAATACAGAAGACCCTATTTTCATTCTGACAACTGCTATGACTTGGATCTAGATGTCCTCCCAAAGCCTCATGTGCTCACAGGTGGGGCTTTTCAGAGGTGGCTGGATATAGGATCCATGTATGTAGATTGAGGGTGTGACCTACTGGGACCTAGGATATGTGGCACTGGATTAGTCCACTTGGGTTTATCACACTTCTGGGTATGGATAATGGGAAGCCTCAGCCTGGGTGTGGGTGGCACCACCCAAAAGTGGGTAGCCTGGGTGGGACAGAAGGGAAAGGGAGGCTTGCTGCTTCCTGTCTGCCAAGCCACTCTGCCTCGGAGCCAGCCAACTGTGGACTGAAAGCTCTACGAACTGTGAGCTGAAATAAACCTTTTCTGCTTTAACAGGTGGGTGTCCGGTACTGTGGCTCAGCAATGAAAAAGTCACTAAGGCACACCCATGAAGCTCAGAAGCCCACAGCCCCAAGTGTAAGATTTGTTCAAGGTCAAGTAATAAATCTCCACATATGGCTCGGACTCCCAGAAGCTACAACCTCAGTGCAAGAATGAACTAAAAATAAACCTACTGTGCAGACAGGGATGAAAATCCAGAGCCTCTGCAAATCCCTAACCACAAACTGCCCGTGACGTGGGTTTCGAGCCCCAGTTCTCAATCCCTATGTAGCCTGAGAAGCCTCAAACAGTATTTTAAAGTTCTCAGGTGCCGGGCACAAGGCAATGCAGATCTCTTCCAGAGAAACGCACCTCCACCCGACCTCCAAATGTTCTCAAGCATAAAGTGCCCAGAAACGTGAGCCCATAATCAAAATTCACAGGACCCAGGAGAATAAGGCAGGGGTGAGTACCCATCACAGCGCAGGGAGCAGAACCAGGCTCGCAGAGACTTCAGGTACTGGAATTACCAGGCAGAAGAGAACATCAGTATATTTGACATATTCCAGAAAAGAAAAGGGGGAACTGGAAATACGGGTAAAATGGAAGCATACAAGGATGAAGGAGCAGGTGTGTAAAACTGAGAAAAACGCAGTAACTGAAATGAACATCCCGACCAGCCACATAAGGAGCACACACAGTGGAGGAGAGAACTGGAAACTGACCGAGCTGAGGAAGCAATAGGCGTGAAACAAAAAAAAGAGGAAGAAAACAGTTCAAATGTTATCTAACGGGAGTTCCAGAAGGCAGGAGATAACCACAGAGCTGTAACACTGGAAAAAAGGAGGACTAACTGAACAAAGATAAATCCTCTGCTTTAGAAAACCAGACAAATCCTGAGCAGGAGTTTAAAAAAAAAAGTAAAACTTAAAAGGCCAGAAATCCTCACCCAAACACACAGATAAGATCTTAAAAGCAGCCAGAGAGAGAGGACAACCAAGGCCATTCCACTGGGTATGAACCTCTCAGTTTCAGCAAAGTCAGCCAAAGATGAGATTGAGCCATGTAACAGTCTGGAAAAATACATACACTATGATTCCACTCATATAAATTTAGAAAGCATGCAAGACAAAAGCTATGTGTTTAGGGATATATATTTATTTGATAAACTAAATCCAGCGAGGTGAGGTGGCACATGCCTGTAATCCCAGCACTGGGGAGGCTGAGGCAGGAGGATCTTTGTGAGTTTGAGACCAGCCTGGGCTATAAAGTGAGCTCAAGTCCAGTCTGCACTACATAGTGAGACCCTGTCTCAAAAAGACAAAAAATAAATAAATAAATAAAATGGAAGGCCATAGCAAACCAGGTTCTCTCTGGAAGGAGTCAGACACTGGGAAGGGCACACATGAACACAAAAAGTATTGGTGAAATGTTCTACATTTATTTATTTATTTATTTACTTTTGTCTTTTTGAGACAGGGTCTCGCTATGCAGTTCAGGCTGGCCTTGAGCTCACTTTGTAGCCCAGGCGGGCCTCGAACTCGCAACAATCCTCCTGCCTCAGCCTCCCGAGTGCTAGGATTACAGGTGGGCACCACCACACCCAAATGTTCTACTTTTAAACCAGGCGCTCAACGCCAAGCACAGCGAATGGCACACACGTATAATTCCAGATACTAAAGGAGTTGATGCAGGAAGAGCCAAGCTTTAACCCAACCTGGGCAATTTAGCAAGAATCTGTCTCAAAAGAAAAAATAAAGACGTGGGACACAGCTCAGTAGTACAGGACCCACAGGTTGAACCCCTAGTTCTGAAAAAATAAACCTAGAATTCCTTTTACTGCTTTTCTATTCATTATACCATATACCTATAATTTCAACTTTTTAATGCATTCAAATTAAATGAATATTTTGAAAATCACAAGTAAACTTAAGGTGACAAATTGTGCTAAGAGACGTGGAGGAATATACCCAAATATCAGTAATGAAGAGACCGAGTTAAAGTGGTGGGGAAGAAGTGGGCAGAGGCCTCCAGGGCTCCTGCAGACGCCCTGCCAAGGGGCGCCAGACCCTGTCTCACAAATGATGAGCAGCAGTCAGACCGGACGCCCATTTCCGAGGCGGCAGTAGCGGCATCTGTTTACAGATTGGTCACGTGAGCAGCAGGCACGAACAGGTCTGGGAAGATGCCCAGGGCCTGCATGTGCGCATGTGTCAAGTGAGAAAAACCAGGACGGAGGGGCAGATGTGGCAGAGGGCAAAAGTCAACATGGCCCTGACAGGCTCCTGAGCCTGTGAGACGTCCCAGAGCCACAGAGCTGGTGAGTCTAGGATCCCAGGCAGAAGCAGGAAGATGCAGATTGCGTTATTAGGAACGCAGCCCACCTGGGAGGCAGGGCCGGAGTGCCCGGCAGCACTAGGAAACGGTGCATTCCACATAAGGAACACACCACTTCTGAAGGGTTTTAACAAGAAACGCCACTGCCCTCTCAACAGGTGCCCTTAAGGGCATTTCTTGCTCTAGGGATAACGACGACAGCTGCAGCACCTGCTACTATTTGGGGCACCAGCCAGCAGGGTCAGCTGTCACTGCGTGTGAACAAGCACCCGTTCTCATTACAGCTGGCTACTGCTGGAGCTCATGCAATTCTAAAGTACCGCAGTCAGAAGGGCTCTGCTAGGAAATAAGCCACATGGCGCTGTGGGAGGTGCTAGGTGACTTCTGCGGCCCTGGCACACCGCTGCTGCCTTCAGCTGCTCACAATCTGAACGGGGTGCGTTACTTTTCAACACTTAAAGCTTGGACATCGTCTGACAAATCAAAACCCGGAGGAGACCAAAGCAGAAAGGGGAAGAGACCCATCAGAACACTAAGGCGCAAGGGAGCACACCCTCCAGACAGAGCGCCAGCACGGGGAGCCCCGGGCAGGGCCCGTACCTGCTGCTTCATGGTTTTCGTGTCCCACAGCAGCAGCTTGCCGGGAACCTGGTTCATGCCCTTGCTGCCGATGTCCGGTGCCGAGGCGTCCACCTGCGAGGTGAGGCTTGGAGCTGCGGCCGAGCAGACGAAAGAGGCCCCGCTGGGGCTGCACGCGAGAGACAAGATTCTGCAACACACGTGGGCCGTGGTCAGACGGTGGCCTGCTCAGAGCGGGCGCGCAGGCCTGGCTCCACAGAGCACCTGCAGCGCAGCGGCCTCAACCGCGGCAGGCAGGGCGTCAGCTCACCTGGGCATGTCATCATGGATGTTGATCTCGCAGAGATTCTTCTTGGCTTCTGTGTCATAGAGACGCACTGTTCCCACACCACTGCCCAGTAAGAGCTAGAATGAGAAGCCACGGGCGTCAGTCAGGGAGGACTTCTGCAGTGGGCCAGGCCCATCCCTCTGAGATGCCAGGCTGGGCCATCTGCAGGGCCAGCCCCTCCTGCACCAATCCAGGCAGACGGGAAATCTGGGCACAACAGACCACACTTAAAACTTAGAGAAAGGCTGGGCCTCGTAGCATACCCCCCTAATCCTAGCACTCAGGAGGCTGAGGCAGGAGGATCACTGTGAGTGTGAGACCAGCCTGGGCTACACCATGAGTCCAAGGAAAGTGTAAATTACATAGCAAGACCCTGTCTCAAAAAAAAAAAAAAAAATTACAGAAAGACACCAAGCCAACCTGAGAACAAAGCAAAACCACAGGCGCTGGGCTGCACTTGGGTGTGGCTGAGTGCTGCTCAAGGGCTCTCATGGTAGAGACTTAGTCTGCAGTGTGGTCACGGAAGAGTAGGTGGGATTTAAGAGACGGCAGGTGACCAGGTCACTGGGCTCCATCTTCAGCAGAGATTAATGCAGAGCCAGTACCCACTCTCTCACTCCCTCTCTCAAACCTGTTGCCTAAATCCATCTCTGCCTTCCAGTCTTGCCCCAGGATCTCTCTCTCCAGCACACACTCCTCCCCTGCCATTACCAATGCCATGTTGTGTTGCTGCCAAGGAAGCCCTCACCAGAGCCGGACAGATGCTGCCATTATACTCTTGAACTTCTATAACTGTGGGCTAGATAAACCTCTTTTCTTTATAAAGTTACCAGCCTCAGGCATTTCATTATAGCAACAGAAAACAGACTGATGCAGCACCTAAGGAATGGGAAAGATGTGCTACCTCAGAAACATGTGAAAATATGCCAGCTGGTTACATGAGACCCTCCACACTTCCCTCTTCTCTTCTGACTGTAAACGCCAGCTATTCAAATCCAGATTCCTGCTCACTCCTGGCACTGGCCAGGGCTGATCACAGGGCCTGGGTAACTGACCATTTGCCTTTTCAGGGAACACTTCCAGCTCTGTAAAGGCCTCCAGGAAAACACAAAAAGATCGTCCCTGGCCCCAGGAACTTGTGATTTATATGGTGGAAAGCTTCAAAGATGATTGATAAGTATCACCAGAAGCAGCCCAGTCTGACGGTATCTTTTCCTCAGAAATATTAGCTAGGCCAGGCGTGGCGGCACACGACTGTAATCCCAACACTTAGGAGATTGAGGCAGGAGGACTGCTGCAAGTTTGAGGCCAGCCTGAGCTACAAAGAGAGTTCAAGGCCAGCTTGAATTATATAACAAGACCCTGTCTCAAAAAGACAAAAATAAAATAAAACAAAATAAAGAAATACTAGCTAAATGTTGACCTCAGCATCCACTTGACAAATGGATGCTGATACAGGGCAGGCCCTAAGATGCTAGTCCCATGAGGATAAATCATACAGTTGTCAAAATTATAGGGAGCCAGGGCCTGGGATATAGCTCAGTGGCATGGCACCTGCCTGGCAAGCCTGAAGTTCTGAGTTCAATTCCTGGTACAAAGAAAAAAAAAATCATAAATTTAGCTGGGCGTGGTGGTACACGCCTGTAATCCCAGCACTCAGGAGGCTGAAGCAGGAGGATCCTTGCGAGTTCGAGACCAGCCTGGGCCACAAAGTGAGCTCAAGGCCAGCCTGAACTGCAGAGTGAGACCCTGTCTCAAAAAAAGACAAAAAAAACAAAAACAAAAACAAAAAGGCAAACAAACAAACAAAAAAAGTAGTGAGCTAGTGTTTGCTTCTTGGGCTACACAGTAGAATCCCTGATAAATGGAACAGAAGAAAAAACAAGAAATCAATTTTACCTCCTTAACTATTTCAAATATTAAAGTCCAGGGAAAAGAAGAACACTGCTATCCCCGGGAACCATCATACCCATGGAAATCACAAACTGAAGCGTCCCCTCTCATCCACGTAGGCCGCTACCACTGAGGCACAGACAGGAGGGGTCTCAGCGGCAGGAGCACACTAAAAGTGGTGAGCAACAGGGAAGCGCAGGAGAGGACAGGAAGCCAGGCAGGCCCTCGGGGCAGAAGGTCCCCTCATTTCACTTCTTGTTAATACAGTAACCTCACCACCACCGCAAACAGGAGCCTGCTAGGCCAGTCTAGGGCACGTGGTCCCTGAATCACAGGGATGAAGAAGAGGGTGAAGGTTCAGCCTCAGCTCAGTTCATGAAGAGCCCCGGAGTCCCCAGAGCAAAGCGTCACTCACCAGCCTGTCCCGCTTGGTAGCCCATTCCAGCGAGAGCAGCGGTGACTTGGAAATAGAGGACGCTTTGGTCTGCATGATGGGGTTGAAGGACCACACTTTGATGACCCCATCTACATCGAGGCTGGCGACTCTCCTCCCTGAGCAATCCACTCTGCACAAGAGAGAAAAAGAGGTGTGGGCACCCGGCCTCACGCTCTCCAGCTAACGCTGAGATGACCATTTGTCCAACTTTCCAACTGTACTTGGCAGTCATCCCAAAAGGCTCACACGCAAAGGGTGAGTGCAAGCGAGGGGTTCCCATTCACTCAAAAGCTCCTTAAGCACCAGGGCTTTGCCCATAAAGCAATTTAAAACTGAAGACTATTGGAGGTTAAAACAATCGGCAGCTTGGTCCTAAAACTCAGTGAAACACAGCAAGAGCCTGAGGCTGACCACAGCACGGCAGCCGCCACCAGCCACCAGATAGCGGGGGCCAGCCCTCCTCTGACGGAGGACCGCGGTCTTTCCGAGACCACTCCCACCTCCCACCACCCGCCCCACACTCCTGCCCACACCCTCACACGCTCGTCTCTCCGGCTGCGAGCCCCGGCTGGCCCACCTGCAGTGCATAATGGATGAGTGGTGCTCCCCGTACTCCTCCTGCCCCAGCACAATGAAGGGCTGCTCCGCGCGGCCTCCTGCTCCCTCGGGCCCGGCGGTGGGCACCCGTGTCAGGGGCTCCACCGGCTCCACATGGAGATCCAGGGAGGGCTCAGCTTCTGGGCCACTCACTTCCGGCTTCTTCTCTGCACCCTGTGGCCAGCAAAGCAGCGACACATCAGCTGGGAGGAGGGCCCCACACACGGAGGACCATGAAGACACTGGTGGTCACAGCCCAGAGCACGGCTTGGGCTGTGAGGCCCACACTCAGCTCATCCCGGGAGAGTGGGGACACCAACTCCCGGGGCAGCTGCTGCCTGGAGACACTGCTCCCACCTGTCAGGCCACACCCGGCTGTGACAGGACTGGCCCAAGGCAGTGGACATGTTTAGTGAGAGCCTCCTGGGCACCAGTGCTGGGCTAAGTGTTTTACAGATTTGCTCAGCTCACCTTCCCAAATCCACAAGAGATGCTATTATTTGCCCCATTTACCACTGTCACAGGGTGGCAGAGGACAGAGCTCGAGGCGGAGCCAGGTTCGTAGTGTCGCCCTGGCCCACACAGCACACCCCACCCTGACTAGCACCTCTTCCGGGGAAGTGGGGATGGGGCCTGAGGAGCTGAGGCAAATGACCAGGCGCAGGGAGAGCCCAAGGTGCCAACCCCACAGCTACTGTGCGTTCACAGACAAACACCAGGCTCAGGAGAAGGGGCCAGCCTGTCCCGGTATTCCTCAAGTGGCCCTCAGGGTGGCAGGTGGATCAGTTCAAGAACAGAATGAGTTGAGATCTGAACGTTTGGGATCTACTACCACCAAAATGGAACTGCTTGCTGTCAAAAATGCCATTAAAATAGGCAAGAAGCCCCCAAAGAAGGTAAGTGATCAAGAAAGTGAACCAGCACAGCCACCAGCTTAGTCTGCCATCTGGGTATAGGCAGGACCGGAAGCAGCTTGTGCGGCCAGGAGGTGCAGACCTGACCTACTTTCCCAGGAGGAGAACCCCAGCCCAGGTGCGGCTGCAGGAGTCTGGGCCGCAGCTCTCAGCACAGCCATCCGCAAACAGGGAAAAGGGTCCTGCAGGCAGGGACCAAATCACACGAAAGGGACGCACTCTCAGGGCCCACGGTGTGCACCACGCGTGGCTAGCCTGGGAGGGACCAGCAGGCCAGGCCCAGCCAGCCCACTGCAGCCCCCTTAGAGCCTTCCCACAGCCTGGCGTTCTCAGGCCCTGCCTGAAAAAATGCTGCCAGAGAAAAGCCAGGCAGAATACCACCCAAACCACCAACGTGCATGAGTAAAGAGCAAGCAGGCAAGACCACACCTGCACAGCAGCGGAACTCGGGGGAGCTACGGGGCACCCCGTACCTGGGAGGAGGTGGTGGTGAACAGCTCCTTTCGCTCCTTGCCGTGGTCCTGCAGGCGCCGCTGCCGCTGCTGAGCCCAGCTTGACTCCCCAGGGCTTGATCCACCGAGGAGGCTCTTCCCATCCTTGGCCCCGGCTGTCAGGTCCTTTCCCTTGCCGGCCTAGGGACAAGAAGCAGGCTGTGAAGTCCGCTCCTGGTTGCCCAGGCAGTGACAATGGCCCAGGGGAAAGCAATGCAGGGAGTGGCTCCTCCCCAGCAACTCCTGGCTGGCCTGGGCAGGGAGCTCAAGTGCAGGTGGAAGTACTGTCAGTCTGCACCCCCTCCTGCCTGTCCTCACCCTCAGCTTACCCTCTGGACACAGGCTGATAGCCTCCTCCATTTAATGGGAGCAATCTGGAAGGGCGAGGAGCCCAGCACTTACTCGGCAATGACCAAGGCAGGCCAGGTCCCTGCTCTGTGTTACATACATTTACCCACTACTGTGTGTTTGTGCAATACAAAGAAACACACGTGTAATAAGACTCCCTGTGTGAAGGGAAAGGGAACATAATGCATCTCTTTCTGGGCCAACTATAGGACTACAACTAATGTTAACAAATACTAAAGTATTTGAAAATGACTACTAGACAACATTTTTAACGGCATTGTTGGAAACCCAAGAATTTTTCAGTAAGATAAACAGGACAGGAAAGAAACTGGATTTTCTGGCTCATTTTCATACCAAAAACAATAAGGTCCACCAAACCTACAGCAACAGAGAATGAACTCAGTAATGTCCACCCCAACGCAAGTCTTCTGTTCCCTTCTCTAGAGTGGCAGGCAGTCAAGATGACGGAAGACAGAGCTGCTGGGGCAACCAAGGCACCCCTCACAGGGTCCTGCAATGCGGTCCATGCTGCCAATCCCACACACAAACCCACACACTCCTCATATACCCCCAACCCAGAGAACAAGCAGAGCCTGAAGAGAGAGAGGGGGAGGGAGGGAGCGAGGGAGAGAGAGAGAGAAGGAAGGAAGGAAGGAAGGAAGGAAGGAAGGAAGGAAGGAAGGAAGGAAGGAAGGAAGGAAGGAGGGACAAATTGAGTGTCCCCTGTCCCTTGTCCAAGATACTTGGAACCAGAAGTATTTCAGGTTTTTTTGGATTTGGGGACTTTTGTGCTATCTTGCGGGTATCTGAGATATCTTGGGATAAGACCAAAAGCTAAATTAAAAACTCACTTATATTTCATATATTCTTTACATACAATGTAATTTTACACATACCTATAATAATTTTTTTTCACAGCATGGAATTTATCACTTGTGAGGTCATGTTGGTGCTTAAAGTTTCAGATTTTGGAGCACTTTAGATTTCAGATGTTCAAATTACATGTACCAATCAGGATAAGCACATATCTCAGGAGTATTTTGTTGACAATTTCATTTAGCGGAAAGTAAAGGAAGTGGTGGGGGGGGTCTACCACACTGAGCTTTTTGTGGATTTACAGAAAAGCTGATTGGCTATGGTCATGTGACTGAAAGTCTGGTTGGGGGGCGTGATCCCTTTAGGATGTACTAAGAAAAGAGAACCTGGCGCAATCAGACCCATGGCAAAACTTTTACGAAAAAGTCTCAGAATACTCAGAGAAAAGAAAAGGTTTTGGGGTTTGTCGTTTTGTTTTTTGAGGTACTGGGGATTAAACCTTCACACTCAGCTAATTCCCAGCCCTCTCCCTTTTTTATTTGGACAGAGGATCTCCCTTAATTGCTAAATTGCCCAGGTTGGGCTCAAACTTGTGATCCTCCTGTCTCAGCTGCCTACAGTATTAGGATTACAGGTGTGGACCCCCACTGAAAAGAAAAAAAATTTAAAGGGAATTAGTGCATGCGTGCGGGATAATAGGCTCTGAAGCATGAAACACTGGCCATTTTCTGCCCCAAGAAAAACAAAACATTTAAAGGAATGAGTGATAAGTTCAACTCATAAGGAGTAATGCAAGCCTATAAGAAAGTTCTAGACCAGCTAAAGCACAGGAGCAGGTGCCCTGACAAGAATAATCTAAAGACGATGATAAGGACTGTGTGGAGCCAGAAGGGCAAGGAAAGGAAGCGCCCTTTATCAGTGAGATTCCACAGCGCTGAACGAGCATTTCACTTCTGTGCTTCTTCTGCTCCCTTGGATACAAACAGAAAAGAAAGGCATATGCTGGCCTAGTCACAAAGAAAGCAAAAATGCTAAGCCTAGCTGATCACCCGCAGCACGTTTGCATGCCAAACATTAGAACCCTGTGTCCTGGGAGGGCAAGAGCCTCTGAGAGGTAAGTGTCCACCCGTAAGGGGAGCTTCCGGGAGATGCAGGGAGGAGGAGGCCTGTTTGTTGGAGCGCTGTCAGGGCAAGGCGGGGGAGGTGGGCTCTGCCAGGCACCACCCCTTCAGAGGATGCTCTGGAGCCTGAGAACAGCCACATCCACCACATTTTTTGCCTGCTATGTGAATGTTCTCTGTGCACAACACGGGTGGGCATCCTGCCTCAGAGACCAAAAGCAGGAACTTCGACCAAGGCAGACAAGCACTTTGAGGCCCACTTCTTTCCTCACTCCCTACATCTGATAAATGTGTCCTTTCCACTCCGGTACTCAATTCAACTACTAACTCAGTTAAGAGTGCTCAATTCAACTGGCCCTAGGGGATGGTATGGACAGGTTTCCAGTTTTCTAGCTAGAACAAAAGCCACTTGTAACCCTTCCCCAGCTACAGCAGAAAACCCAACACAAAGAAATGTGAAGACAGTGCTTCCCTTATAAATCAGGGTGGTAAGGACATTGTCCAGTACATCATCCGGCAGGGCTAGACAGCGAGTATTTTTTAAAATGAAAATATAAATGGATTTTTTTACAGTGGGAACAGGGTGAGACAGCATCTCATTTAGGTAGTTCAGGTTGGCCTTGAACTATGGAGCCCAGGCTAGCCTCAGATTCCTGGTGATCCTCCTGCCTCAGCCTGCCAAGTGCTAGGATTACAGGAGTGTACCACCATGCCTGGCTACAGAGGGTCAGTCACAAAAATCAGGACAATAAATTAAGAATTGCTTTTACAACACCAGGACAGTTTATAGCTAGTGAGCCAGAGACCCAAGTATGACCTCTTACATCCTGCTGAAAGAGAAGAGAGCTTCCTCCACTGTAACTGATGTAGTCCCTGCAGAAGGGTATGCACCAATGAAAGACAACCACGCATTAAAAGCTGATGAACACAGCTGCCCATAATCACTTTAATGAGGAGGTTAAGGTAAATTTGTGTCTAGCTACAAAAACGCACAACTTAAATAAATGTTTACTGCGACGTAACCAGTAGTTGAAGGTTTTAAGGGTAAACTTTATAAAAACCTTACCCACTGGCGTTATTTAACTTAATATCCCAGTGGCTTAAGTTATATTCATCACAATCTTCCTGGCTCCTACAGTTCAGAAGATGTTGTAACCGGTTTCATCACGTGACCTTCTCCCTCTGGAGACTGATCTAAGCTGACACTCATTCACCTCTGGTGGCCTGGGTAGATCAGAAGCAATTTCACAGCCTCACCAACCTTGCCAGGCAGCCTTCCAACTGGGGCAGGAAATTAGTTCCAGTAATCTGGTCCCACCGGAGGCAAAACAAAGCCACTCGGATGGCAGGGCTCAAATGCAGACCTGCAGATAGAAAGACTGGGCAAGGGCGCCCGTTTCCCCGGGCTACCCAGCTCCATGGGAACAGCCCCAGGATGGCTCTTGTTCCTACTGATGTCTCAATAGCTGGGGAGTAATCTGATAATAAGGGTTAGAAGTGCAGAAGTTTGCGGATGCTTTACTTTCTTTACATTACAGCCAATTAAAAGTTATCTGTGTAATAAGGTAATTCCCACCTGCTGCCCCATAGCTCACCAAGTGGGTGTGAGAGGTGCAGAAATATAGCTAGGGGCAGGTGAGGAGCTCAGCGCAGTCCTGCTACCGAGTCCTCCCTGACTACCGCTGTTGGAGATCCCAGCAGAGCTTGGGAACTAGGGTTTTGCAGCTACTTCCTTTCTTTTATTTGCCTACAGATTCACACTGAAAGCATGAAGCATGTATGTTGCCACCTATTTTGTAAGAACAATGCCACGAACACTCCAGTAACAGTGATAACAGTAGCAGGCAAAATGCTGATGTGAGTGAAAATTTACAAAGCTCTATATAAATAATATTTAAGATAGGAAGGTCCAACCGTTTCTGTATTGCTAACTTAATAATAAAATACAGTTTATATTTTGTATGTTTATTATTCTTTAACAGCAAAGAAGAAAGAAGGGCTCTGGTGTAGTAGTGGAGAGGAAAAAAAAGACTGAAGCCGGGAGTGGTGGCGCACGACTGTAATCCCAGCACTTGTGAGGCTGAGGCAGGAGGACTGCTGTGAGTTTGAGGCCAGTCTGAACTGCATAGCAAGACCCTGTCTCAAAAAGACAAAAAAAAGGACCAAATGCTTAATATGCACTGACAAAGCAATATAGAGGCCAGTCTCACGTCATACTGAGTTCGAAGGAGTATAATGTCAAAATCACAAGACGTGATCCCATCACATATCTGGCAGTGGTGAGAAAGAGTCTAAAATTGTACACTCAAATTTGTGCATCAGTTGTAATATAAGGATTGAAATGTTAGACTGTGCCCCAGAGGAGAGGGCCCAGGACAGTGAGAGGTCTAGAAAGAATGCTGTAGGAGTCAACATCTGCCGAGAGGGACGAGCAGAGAGCTTAGCACGGAAAGATGGGAAGCATTATTTCACGCAAGAGGCCTTATTCCATGGAGCTGCAGAGGGAAAAGCTAAGATTGGCGAGTAAAAGTTACAAACAGATTTCTGCTAATGACTTTTTAACAAGCGCATTTTCCACTGTAACAAGAAGGTTGTTCTACATCACAGGAACCAATCAACCGGAGAAGGAAGGTGAGCGAGGTGAACTTGAAGCCTCCTTCCAACTCTGAAATTCTGCCATTTTCTTTCCTTTTTTTTTTTTTTTATATGTGTCTGCCATTTCCTTGAACCTCAAATCTATTAGCTATTTTTGGAGTTTAAACATCAACGCTTAGTCTAAATAATCCACCATCAATAAAAAAACAAGTGACATGACCAATGGGTCTTTCAGACTGCAGATTTCTGTGGTCTCCATTCAAACTCAAAATTGTGCTCTGTTAACATAACCCATAGTGACCCAATCTCTCTTTGATTATATTTCAGGGGCAAAGTAAGAAATACTTTGCCACAAGTTACACACTTTTACCCTCATCTCCTGGCTGTAAACTGCATGAAAACTTCCACAGCATTTCAATCTCACCATGTATTTTTATAAAAGAGAAATAATAACATGTGACATGCAGTTCCTGAAACAGAAAGAGTGTGACCGCAGGCTTAACCTCAAAGAAGCTGTGTCTGCGTCTGCCTCCATTTTAATTAGTGAAGTTGGACTCCACAGTCCCAAGCTTATTTCAAGGGACTCAATACTCTTAGCTCCAGCTACCAAAATAAAACGCTGATCGTGAGAAATATCTGGAAAGCAAACAGCAAAACTTATTTGGCAATATTCCAAATAGCACAAATTCTATTTGCAAAGATTTTCAGAAGAACACTTATGGCCAGGCCTGGTGGCTCTTGTCTGTAATCCCAGCACTTGGGAGGCTGAAGCAAGAGGATCGAAGCGAGTGTAAGGCCAGCTTGGGCTACATAGTGAGTTCAAGACCAGCCTGAACTGCACAGTGAGACCCTGTCTCGAGAAACCAACCACCCCACGCCAGCAAAAAAAAAAAACACTGTGGAAATAACCACTATTGATTTTTAGCTGCTTCCACCCTCAGGGAAGGTGAGATGATAGTCCGCTTGCACAGATGGTGCTTGACGTCTAAAGAACTCACTCAGGAATCCAAGTTAGCCAGGACCTTCAGGAACACAATGCCTACTAAATTTACTGAGTGCTTACTGTCTGCCAAGCCCTGCAGATACCCAAGGCTCTTCTTCCACCGACCCAACTACTGCCCTCCTAAGGAGCCAACACTATTGTTAGCCCACGCAAAGTGGGGTGAGTGTTAGCAATTTGAGTACTAATGATACACAAGGAGCCAGAGCTGAATGTAAATCATGTTGCTTGACTTCAGAGCCCAGGCTGTCTTGTCCACGGTCCTGCTCAGGGTCTCCAACCCAACCATTCTGAATCAGAAGTTGCCCCAAACTGCTACACCACTTGCAACTCCAGCCAAGGGCAGCAGAGAAGGAAGGAATGAACTATGACCACTTATTTTATCAGTGCTTAGCAAAATGACACCGGAAGAGCAGAGTCCCCACCCATGCAACAAAGTCTAACTCTGAGTCTACTACACTTTCACTCTGGCAGGCAGGCAGGCATGTCTGAAAGCAATGAGTTCTGTTAGAAATACCAGTGAGTGGGTTCTTGGCTGTTTGCACATCAGCTAGTGTCAAAGAACTTCTCTTGCAATATGCTAGAAAGGTGAAAAATCCAGAAAATGCTTTGCAAAATCAGCAACCACCACCCTGTACATAAAATACAGGCATTCAGAGGTAACTCTTAATTTACTCTTTAGCCAGACAGCAGTTTAACGCAAATTAAATTGAAATGCCAGCACTGCCTCAACTCATACTTGAGCCAACCAGACAGTCACAAACCCTCATGTGTTCAGAGGAGACTATGAGAAATAGGCTTCAAAGCTTATTTCTGGTCACTGACTACCCACGGAGCATGGCAGACACTGGAGAACTGGTTCAGGCATGATCAGACAACAGCAGGCACAGGAGCTTAGGAAACCAGGCTGAGGTGCGGCGTACCCCTTCATCTCCCACTGTCACAACACAATGCCTGAGTGCCGGCCAGAGGTGAGGATGGGGGTACCTGGTGGATCTTCCTCCTTGTTCTCCCACTTTCTCCAAGTCCAGTCTTATCTCTATTCTCATCCTACAGAGCTACCACTAGTCTGTGAGGGCAAAGGCAGGGAAGGAGAAAGAAAGAAAATGGGAAGTGAATTTAGGATTTCACAGCACATGGACAACTTGGTCCCAAAGGGAAGTCACACACGCCTACACCTGATAAAGAGGCCCAGAAGCGCAGCTGGCAGTCTGAGGTCACAGGCTTCTTGGCAACACTTCAGAGGCGTGACCGGCACTTACCTGACTGCTGAAGGACTCTTTCTTGGATGAGCTCTGAGCTGGAGGGGGTCCTGGGGCAGGTGACAACCTCGAGGGGCTCTTCTTGCTCTGAGGCAGCAGCGAGGAAAGGAAGCCTACTCGCGGTGACTGGGAGAGGGAGGCAGTCCTCTGGCTGCACACCATGGCGCTGGTCAGGGGACACAACACAGGGTCTGAGCACTGGAGGGATGAAGAGGGTCTGAGAACACAGAGCTCCTGTGCTACAGAGGCTCCGTAGTCAGATTCTGCAGCCTGAGCTGGAAGGACATTACGCTCCAGACCACTTCATGTATGAAGGGGACCAGAAGCTTATCTGACCCAGCAGTAAAGTCCATGACTCTTCTTTGAGGGCCCCAGGAGATCTCAGAACCGTGCTATATGATAGCCACTGGCCACATGGGCTACTGAGGATCTGAACTGTGCTTTGTCCAAATCAAGATGTGCTGGAAGCGCAAGGCACTCCGCAATTCCAACGCTTAGCATGAAAAAAGGGTAGAATATATTGAAATAGTTTAGACATACTGAGCTAAATAAATATATGATTAAAGCTTACACTGTTTTACTTTTTTAACAAAGCTATTAAAAACAACTTCAAATTGGCTGGTACTGTATTTTATTTCACTGAATGGCACTGGCTGAGAAACTAGAGCCACCTCATACAGTGCAATACTTGGCTATGCCTGGTTTGCACCCTGACTGGTTTGTCACCTGACCGTGCCACTGGTTCCTCGACTGCTATTAGGACTGTTATCCCTTGGGCTTTCATATTAACTATGTTCTGGGGTTTTTTGTTTGTTTTGTTATGCTCTGTTTCTCAGTGCTGAAGAGCCAGGGCCTCTTACACGCTAGGCAAGCACTATACCACTGAGCTACAACCCAGCCTTAGATGGCTGCTTCTTTTTTTTTTTTTGGTTTTTCTCCGGTACCGGGAACCGAACTCACGACCTTGCGCTTGCCAGGCAGGCGCTTTGCCACTGAGCTAAATCCCCAGCCCCATGGCTGCTTCTTAAGATCACTCAAATACCTCTCTCTAGTTTCTGCCTACCTCTTTAAACATTCAGTAGCCAGTCCTTCCACAATGAAACACTCCTTCCAATACATAAAACCTTACCATGGCGGTTGGGTTGTATTGATCCAGGACGTGCAAGCTCCTGGCAGAACAGGTTAAGAACCACAAGCATGGTGACCACAAAAAACTGAAGCAAGATGAGGTGTGCTAGGGGCTCTTTGGCAATACTCCCCAACAGGCACAAAGGCCACAGGCAAGGCAGGGTCAGAGGCACACTCAGGAGACACAGGACAGAGGAGAAGAGGAAGTAGCCACCTTCCCACAGCCGGGCCCTCACACATACTCACAGCTCGGAATCCCCCAGGCGGTCCATACTGGAGACATAAGGAGGCAATTTGTGTTGGACCAAGGCCTCTTCCTCTTCGGGCTGTTGCTCTTCCTTCTTCAGCCGGTGAATTTCAGCTTGCAAGGCAAAAAGCTGTAGAGGGTAGAGCCAAGTTAGCCAGTGATCGCACCCCACCCTCTGCTGAGCAAGATTTCTAGACGCGCCACATCCAAATCCAACCTCACTGGCTCCAGGTGCCATTCCCCCTGGGCACCAAGGCATCCTTTGCATTTCTGCTCACTGTGCCTCAGAGAAAAGACAAAGGCCAGCTACTGGCCTTGTACTACGGTGAGGTAAGAAAGCCAAAAACTGTTAGACACCCAAAATCCACTTTCTTATCATTTGACATGCTTCCTTTTTAGCACTGGACTTGCTTCTTCCTGAATTTACTGAGAAAAAGAACTCCGCTCAATCCTACTTTGCTCTTTGGAATCTATAAAATCAGGCTTTGGAATTCACACAGGAAAAAAAATTTTAAATGCATTACATAGCATCTTTAACCTTCTGCCTCAAGAAAACTAAGCATATACACATTGCCCAAAATCTAAGACTCTTAAACCTCAAAACTTAAACAGCTTCTAAGCTTCCTTTACTTAACAATAATACTGACAGAGATCTTCATTTTAGGACAAGAAAATCAGTGCTCCTCAGGCAAAATGTAAAAGCAAACACACGTTGAAGAACAGAAATACACAGCTTAGTAGGAACAACTAAATTATACCTGGATTGTAAACATTGGGTATGTGGTTATATATTGGAAAAAGATCAAAGACCAAATGACATATGAAAACAAGAGGATTGTAAGCTGGTGTGAATATACACAATCATCTTCTTAACAAGTTCATTCAAATTACTATATTGCTTAGGTTTAAAACATGAAGCTCAGCTCTGGTTATCAGAGGCTGATACAGTCTTAAACCTTCAATGCTGACTGATGACTTGCTCTCATCTAAGAAACAGTTTTGCTCTATATGCAATCGGCCCTTGAGTGCTGTGACCTAATTTCACGCCCACAGAGCAGAAGTTCTCCCAGAGGCAAGCCTGTGCAGCACAAACCTTCTGACGAAGAATTTCATTTTCTTCTTGAACCTGGTTGGTCCTCTGGCACTCTGCATCAAAGTTTAGGATCACAGGAACTGGTGCGCAAAGTTAAAGAATAAACCTGCTTGGGAACATGTGAAAGCTCCTGACACAGTAGCCAAACACTTGAACACAAGAAACAGGAAAGAGAGGACAGGATCAGTACTGTGGGCTTGTGCCAGCTTTACAAACTGGTCTCTCCCTAGTCTCAGGGCCTTGTTTCCTGTGGGCTCAGAGACACATAAAAATCTGTGTGGAGAGGACATAAATCTAAACCTGGTATTTCTCCCTCAAACCCCAGCAGTAAGAGCTAGTATTCAGTGGCCTCACAGCCAGTCTAAGCTTTACCAAGGTCAAGGCAGACATTTAGCAGAAAGCAACCCTGGAAGCAAGATCCGTACTAGGTTTTCTTCTCTCAGCAATGAACTTCTACCCAGCCAAGTTTTAGACTGAGAAGAGATAGCTTTGTGCAGACTGCATGGCTACATGCCACCTCAAGAACACCTATGTTCTAGCTGAGGGTGCTGGCCTTTTGCCTTTCCCCAACACTCACACAGCTTCAGTCAGAAGGAGGGCAGAGTAGACAGGGCCTCAGACTCCAAATGTGCATGCCTTAGTTTGATTGGCAATATCTTGGCCGCAAAGATCTTGAGCAACCATTTCAATTGCCCTAGAGGGTCCACATGGCCACTTGGTAGCCACCCTACCAGCTTCTTTGACAGCCCACAGGAAGAAGAGCCAGCTGGCAAGAAAAGAGAAGTAAGAAGAGAAAGACCTGGCAAGAGCAGGATTCCCACTCATCCACAACACATAAGGAAAGAGCAAAGTCAGCCACCTTCCAGAAAGCGGTCTCCCAGTGGTCAAAATGGCAGCTAGTGGGTGGGGATATGAACGCCCAAATTATCAGCACCTCAGCAGGCAGCCCTATTCAAAACGGACCGCCTTCTCCTCCACTGGATTTCCAGCCTGGAGAGCACGATGCATGAAAGCACATCTCAGGCCTTCCAGGACAAAATAGTACACTTGTTATGACGTGAGTCATTTACACAATCCTCATTCATTCTCATATCCCCCCACAATGCGCATGTACACACACACACACACACACACACACACACAAATCCTAAAACTGCTCTGTTCTCTGGCAAGTTGAGGAACAATAAGGTCACTGTCAGAGAGAAAAACCCAAACACTAACTCAGGCAGAAAGCTCCAATCCAAGAAGTGTTCCTATCTGCACCAGGATCCCAGCAAAATCAAGTGATATCCCCAGGGGCTCGTGACACGCACAGAAACGATGCTCTCAAGTCTAGCTGGTTTCACCAAGTAGCTGCCTCCCCACCCTGCAGCTGCTACAGTCCTGCCCGTGTGCATCAGCTATTTCTTCACACAATACATCACCAGAATTGAGATTTATGACTTCCTGGTCTCCTGACAGAAATAACCACAAGTTCTCCAGCCCCCCTCACATGACACAAGCCAAGGATCCTTAAGCACATTGTGGAAGAAATGGCTGCACTGAAATCAGTAACTTTTAGCAATTACTGATCATGTTGTCTACAATATGCCTGGAAAGGATATGCATGCACTGAAACAGGACACTCAGGAAGTTGTGCAGGGACACGATGAAGGTGTCAGCCCACTGTCGAGAAAAGTAGGTAGCGAAGGTGGGGTTCGTGTCTGGGGATGGCAAGAAGGGCAGGACAAACCAATCCTTCCACTCGGCCTGGTTCTGAAGCTCTGTGGCCTGCTTTGCAAAGAACTCCTGAGCCTTGTCATTTCTGTTTGTCTGCCAAGACACAAAGGAGGCAGCAAGGAGGAGGAAGAAACAGAAGTCCAGAGGTGAGATTCTTCATCATGGCAGACGGCCTTGATATCACCCGCCAGGTAAGTGACAAGCAGACTCTAGAAACTCCACGATATGAAGGAAATCATCAACCTTTCTCAAGGACCTTGTGATTTCAAGCTTTAGTGGTTTAAAGTTAAGTACTTTAAGGTCTAATGATAAATGTGATCCTGAAAACTGATCCCTAGTTGATATTTAAATAAGCTAAGTGACTGATTCACCCAATAATAATTGTCTTTATTACTCAATCTTTATATTCCTTAAAACACCACCTATGCTTATGTGTTTAAAACAAGGGGGGAAATGGGAATGGGGAAAATAAGTCAGATGATCTGCAAATGATGAAAAAGAAACAAAATGTAAGAGAACAGTCAAAAATAATTTGCACCGTGGCTGTTCCACTCATTCCCACGGTAAGATACAGAATCATCCCAGGGGACTGGAAGAAACATGTTTCTGGATCCAAGAGCTCTCCCTACCAGGGAAACAAAACCCCTGCACCAACAAGCACCTGGATTGTGTAGACAAGATAAAAGCGGAACAGGCTGGTTTTCAGCTTATTGATGGTGGGTCTATATATATCCTCCAAGCGGCTGAAGAGTCTACGCTCCAGGTAGCTCCAATAATCTCGAAGCGCAGCCAAGTCATACACCTGCATTAACTGCTGTAGTTGGTCCACAATCTTGTCCACCTGGCAAGAAAAAGCATCACTGGAGAAGGTGGTGAAGGGCACAATGGCATTCTCCCCCTTATTCCACAGAATATAGCTTTGTCCTCTTACTATGGCATCTGGGTGCTAAAAACTTGTAAGCTGGCAGCTGACAAATTTTTCAAACATATTAATGTAACAGCTTTTAAATTTCTTCAGATGCTAAATATACATCTTAACCCTCTGGCAAGCATTGAATTTTAGGTGTATAAAAGACTCTGGCCCGGGGCTGGGGATTTAGCTCAGCAGCAAAAGCGCCTGCCTGGCAAGTGCAAGGTCGTGAGTTCGGTTCCCAGTACCAGAGAAAAACCAAAAAATAAAAAAAATAAAAAAGACTCTGGCCCAAGAAGCAAGAAATCTGGATCCAGGTCTTGAGTTAAATTGACCAACTTGGCAAAATCACTTTAACTGTGGTCACAGAGGCCTCTCAATTAAAAAAAAAAAAAGAGCAAGAGATCACAACACAATCTTCTTAGTCTCTCTTCTTCCAACTCCACAATTCTAGAATTCCAAGGATCACCAGGAGGTACACTGACTGGCCCTTGCAAGACGCCAAAGCTCTACCTTTGGCCAGTGTCAGCCAAAGGGGTAGCCTCCCTGGGATGAGCAATTTCACCACAGGATACGATCTGGAAAAAGTTCTGGATACGAATGTCAGTTCAACCCCATTTAAAAAGTAGATCAGGAGTCCTGCAACCTGGAGAGGTGAAATGATTTGCTTTTGCCATTAAGTAAGCTAACTTCGGCAAGGCAAAACCCTAGGCTTCTAACCCCGCCAGTGCTCCTGCAGCTAAGCGGTGTCTCTCTCGATTCATCTTCCATCACCTATTTAATTCAGCACACACGAACGTACAAGTGACACGCTCAGAAATTCCAAGAACTTCGCAACGGAAAATCATATCAGAGCAGGAGGAAGTCTGTGTTTTAAAATGTGCAACGACGTCTTCCTTAACTGCAGAAGCAAAAATATCAGCGACTCCCTGACAAAAGACCATTTTAACAAAACACCACAGACCCCCGCACCCGGCCAGCTTTTGGGGCTGCAGACCTCCTTGCTACCACTGCCGGCTTGCAGGAACTCAACCATCGGCCCATCCTTGGCTCCTAAACCCGGCCGCCCGCTGGCCACGCCCAGCACTTGCTGGAGGTGGGATGAAGAAGGGAGCTGGACCAGGACGGGGCGCTTCGCCCCAGTGCTCCTGCCTCTCTGGGCAACTCCAGGCAGTCAAGTTCATGCCGCCCTCAGCTCCTCTCTGTCATGCGCAGGCGAAGGCGCGATGACAGCGCCGCCGTAGACCCTGCGGCAGCACTGGGAGAGGGAGGAGCCCGCCGCCGGCCGCCTCAGCCCGCCGCCCGCCCGGCCCCTCACCCGGAACCCCTTCTCCCGGTCCGCCTTGATCTCCGCGTCCAGCTGCCGTAGCGTGTGCGTGAATCCACGGAAGAGCAGGTACTCGCGCACCAGCTCGTCCGTGCGCTCCACAGCCTCCGCCATCGCTGCGCCTGCGGCTTGAGGGGCCGAGCCGGCCGGGGACGGAGGGGCGGGGCCTGGGCGGGCAGGGGCGGAGCCGAACGCCCGCGCCAGAGGACGTCACGCCCACGGCCAGCCTACCAATCAGCACGCCTCGGGCGCCGTGCGCTTGTGGCCCCGCCCCTCAGATGACTCCCCGCCCCTCATCTAGCCTCCGGACCGCCCACTGCGCTTGACGTCATCTTCCTCGAAAAGGGGCTACCCGAGGAGGCTGCGCGCGCGGCGGCGGCGGCAGCTTCCTCCGCTGTCACTCAGAGAGCTTGGGGACGTCTCAGGGTCATGCGGCGGGGGAGTGCCCTGCTTATTGACATTGTTACATGGTGGGACGCTTCGTCCCCTGTCCTCTTTTTACAAAAGGGGGAAACTGGAGTTCTAGGTGACAAAGTGAAGTCATCAAATAGCTTCAACTCAAGCACCCCGCTTTCATTAATAAGACTGGTTAGCTGCATGGCCAGATAAGCAGCATCCTGCTAGCAAGAAAACGCCGAGTTGCAGCATGGTATGTACACTGTGGTCCCAGATTCTTTAAAAAAAACCAAAACTGTGTTTATGTGTACATTTTTTAAACTCAGGGACACTAGTCATCAATTTCTTAAAATTGTTTGAGATATGAGGGAGAGTTTCAGTTCTTTTTTTTCCTTGCATTTTTTGAATCATTTGAAATTTTTACTAGGTGTACTGTATTTTTGTAGGCCAGAAGGTACATAATATCTTTGAGTGCAAAATGGTAACAGTAATACCTACGTTGCAGACAGATTCATAATGAAGATTCGGTAAGATAATACATGGTAACAGCCCCATGAATGGTCCATAGAGAAGATAAAATAAATATTTTGCCTTTCCCTTCCCTCTAATGGCGAGGCATTTGTGTTTGTCAAAGCACATCTCAGAATTATTACTACCACTGGGTCGGACCCTCCAATCCTGCTGTACAGAAATTCAGCTCCAAAGGGCACTGATCCATACCAGGGACATCCAAAGAGATAACAAACAGCAAGCCACGGCAAGACGCGGGAGATGCTGGTTTTGCCTTTTTGTCTACTTTTCCTGTGTATCTCCCAGGCATCCAGCCTTGCTCCGAAGAGGTAGAAAAGGACACTCAAACCTCTAACTGTTGGGAGAACCAGACCGAATCCTGCCCTGGGATCTCAGATCTTCAGAAGTAAACTCAGGAAAGTTGGTCAAGTAGCAGTGTACAGGAAAGTCGGGAATTAGACTTCCCTAGGGCACCTGAAGACTGCAGACACAGTGCTCCCTCCCCCATCTCCATCTGCCCCGGCACTTTCCCGAGCAAAGCCTGCAAAAACAGCGGAGTTTGCTGATCAATGAAAGGCAGCTCCACAGTCCTACCACAAGCTCTTGGCTCTACCTGGAACATCTTCACCCAGATACTCAGGCTTAGCTCCTGTCCTTCAAGTGTTTGCTCAAATGCTATGTCTTAGTCCTTTAGAGATGCTACAACAAAATCCCATCAGCTAGGTGGCTTATAAGCAACAGAAACTTGCTTCTCACAGTTCTGAAGCCTGCAAAGTCCAAAACCAAGGCACCAACAGACCTGGTGTCTGCTGAGGGCTCACCCTGGCTCCCAGATGGTGCCTTCCACCTGTACTCTCACTCGGCCCTCCTGTGGCTAGAGTCTCTCTGGGACGTCTTCTCTAAGAGCACGTCTTAGTTACTTTTCTTGTTGCTGAGACAAAATACCTGACACCCAAAGTTAAAGGGGGAAAGGTTTATTTAGCACACAGTTAGTGGAGGTTTCAGTCCATAGTCGGCTGGTTCCAAGCAGAAGCATGGCAGAGGGTATCACAGAGGAGAAAAACGGTTCATTGCAGGCAAAGACAGCAAGAGCAACAAGGGACCTTACCAGTGTCTTTCTGCCCCTTTTGTCTTATCCAGGCTACTTAGTGCGGGTAGCACTCACACTCTTAATCCTAGTGCTCTTAAACCTAGCAGTGCACCATGAATCAATTCCAGAGTCAGTACTCTAGATCCAGCCACCTCTAAAAAAGCTCCACCTATGACCACATGAGGCTTTGGGGGGACATCTAAACACAAGGCCATAACATTCTGCCCCAGGCCCCTTAAAGATTCATGCATGCCCCTTTATGCAAAAGGCACATAGTCCAGCTCCACAAATTACAAAACTCCTAACAGTTTCAGCTTTGCTGAAAAGTCCAAGTCCAAAGTCTGCTCTGAGATTTAAGGCCAACTCTTAGCTGTAAGCCCCTGTACAAATGAAAAGAAAGTTAAACACTTTCAGCATTCAATGGCACAAGATAGCTGTCTAGGGTAGATTAATCCTCTTCGTGAGGGTTCTGCCTTGATGATCTAACTCCTCCCAGTACCATCACATTGGGGATTTTACTTCAGCATGTGAGTTTTAGGGGGACACAGACTTTCATACTGTAGCAGTCTCCTCCTTAAAGAGTCCTCTCTGACTCTACTGTAAAAAACAGCATTAATTTCATTTCTGGCATTCATGTCGCCCTTATCCTCTTGTATCTTTCTACATAGCACTTATAACCATCAGAAAAAAAACAGTGTTTTGGCCAGGGATATAGCTCAGCGGCACAAGTGCCTGCCTGGCAAGTGCAAGGTCCTGAGTTTGATTCCCAGTACCAAAAAGAAAAAAACTAATATTTTGGTTATTGAATGTAATATCTCCCCCACTCCACTAAACTATAAGCTACACAAAAGCGGAGATGTTTGTATTTTTTCTACTCTATCCTCAAAGTATAAAATAGCAGTTAGCTCAAGTAGATGCTCAATAAATACTCACTAAGGGCACTTTCTGCTAAGGCCCAGCCACTCTCAAGCAGAACAGCACCAGTAGAGGGCACATAAACACTGGAATCACTCCTGAGCATAGGCTCCACCGACTTCTGAATGGTTCTTTGTCCCAAGCATTCCTCCTCCCCTTTGCATCATTTTATTCAATCTTAAAAGATTTCCAGAGGCACTTTATGTAGTCTTTCAAGTTGTCTTAGTAAGGGGAGAAGCTATGAGATACTATGGCTCATTCATTAGCTCTGATTAGTTCAGCTGATTAACCCACCACTGCTTGGAGGTAGAAAGTGGCAATGGGGTTCATTTAAGGAGGTGCTGTCAGGCCAACAGCAGTTTTATTCTACAGAAAATTATGCACAACACATAAGGCAAACACCAAACTATGCTTTTAATCTAACAATCTCTCTTTGCCTTTGAACCTCAGAGCTAGGAGAGAAGGGAGGAGAAGGAGCCTGGAGATAGGTGGGCTAAGCATTTAACAAGCACCTACTTTGTGCCTTATACATGCTTGGTCCTCAGGGACATAATAATAAGACTAGGGTCTCTATCCTGGGAGAACCTCAGCTGCCCTAAACACACACTCCATCTCTGGCCGCAGGGCAGAGACTGGATTGCACAGGAGCAGCGCTGGATCCAAAGGCAGAGGCCAGGCAGTGCAAGAGACATGACAAGACTTGTGGTGTAGGGGTGAAAAACAAGGATCTGAGGAGCATTGAGGAGTAGAATCAACAGATGTGGTGATTGATTCACTGAACCGAGTGAGGATCCAGGGCGGTCAGTGAATGAGCAGGTTTCTGGCTGGATCTTCTGAGTGGATGGCAAGGTCACTCATGGCCAGAAAAACTGAGGAATCGGGGACTGTAAAACATCCTGACACAACCTTTGGGAAGAAACCACACCAAATGGGCACGCAGGCAGTACGGGACCTAGAACATGGCCATCGGCTCGCTCCCTCTGAGGCTTCTGCTATCCGCTCTACACTGATGACTCCCCACTCTGCCTGCCAGCCCTCACCTGTCTCCTAAGCTCTCGCCAAGTAGCCCAGGGACACCTCCCCTGGGACACCATAGAGGCGTCTCAAACTTACCTGTAGCAGCTCAGTTTTGAAACATGTATGGGAGCTTTAAATTCAAAATGGCAATTGAGGCTTTTTCTGTTATGCCGGACTAGACCGTGGAACTCAGCTCCCATTTCTCCAAAGTGTAACTGTGTCACTAGCTTGTTCAAGTGCAAATTCAGGGGCCACCCACGACCTACTCAATCAGAGTTGCATGGATACAGTGCCCGGGGATTTGCATTTGGAGCAAGCTTCTGGTGACTCTCAGGCACACATACATTGGAGAATCACTGGTTTTAATAGGAGTTAAAAGAGTTTGCTGCTGATCAATAGATCTTCCAGGCATACATGATCATTTATAGTTCAGAGATAATAATGATAACATTTTATAGTTGCAAAACGTGTTTCCATATATTACTTTACTTGAACCACACTCAGTCCCGTAAAGTAAGTCTTTTTACATCATCTTAAAGATGAAAAGCTGCAGCTCCAGAAAGCTAAGTGATTTATCCACTCAAATTGATGTCTCTGGTTCCAAGTGCACCAACAGTCGGCCAAGAGCTGCACGGTAGCATCACTGCATCAGTGAACTTCTGAGGCAGGTCCCTTAGGTGAATGAGTACACATTATCCCTCTTCCTGAAGAATATTAGACTCAAACTCACCAAGCAAGTCTCTCATAGCTAGAGCGTTCTGCCTGGAACAGGGAGCAACTGGCTTAACTCTGGGCAGCCAAAGGTAACGGGTAACAGGCAAGAAAACCTGGAACGATCCAAGACCCTGGGTTTACCTTCAATACCTCCTTCTGCCCTTTAGCCTCTGTGTTCTACCTCTACTCTTGATGCTTTAGTCTGCTTTCTGTGGACCCTGCACTTCCTGGCATTTCTTTTTGTCAGATCCTGACTCTACCATTGGCTTTCCCCATGAATTCCTACTATTCTTTAGACTCAGCCTAACTAGCTCAGCAGGAGAAGGACACTGGAATGCTATAGCTCTCCTGTGTCCTTAAGTGCTGGCCTTTCTCACCCCAGTGGTGACTGGTGATTCTCCCTCTGTGTTCAGGAAGCATTGCACCCTGGAGCTGCTTATCGCCTTGTTTCCTGTCTATCTTATCTCTTTGATCACTAACTCCTAAGAGAACAGATCAATGCTCCCCAGTGCCTAGCACATTCCCTTGAAAGTAGATGCTCAATAGCCATTTGTTAAATGACTGAGTGGATGAAGTCCACAGTACTCTACTGTACTGCCTGGAACTCCAAGTTAGGTGTCTGCCTCGTACAGAGTCCATTGCCACAGTTTGGGGAATGTAAATCTTTTCTTACTGCAATCAGCTCCATAAAAACTTACGAGCAGCTCTGAAGATTGGTTACCCGCCCTGACCAACCCAGCCCTCATACAGCCGGTGTCTTAGTGCGTAACTCATTGAAAATCAGTGACATAAAATAGATGCCCTTTTGCCTACAAACTAATAATCTTGAAAACTGTTCTGCTCAGTATTGATAAATAAAATGAAATGGGCATTATAAAATTCAGAAGGAGACACTTTTCTAGGGATCAACTTACAGATGATCAAAACTGCTCCACATCTGAAATGCATAGACATTTCTCAGACGAAGAAATAGAAATGGCAAATAAATATGTGAAAAAATGTTCAGC